CCGGCGGCGCCTACGGCGCCGCCCCTAGCGCGCCAGCGCCGATCCGAGAAATCCGCGCGGACCACCGAGTTTGTATGTTTATGCCACTGTTTGTTTCCCTATCTTGGGCTCAAAAGATGCCCAAAAATTATTCACTGCGTGGAGCTCCCCATATGTGCATCTACTCGCATGGACCTGTCCGCCGTGAATGTCTAGGCGCAAGAGCTTTCGAATATTAACGGGCTTCAGATGTGACGGTCTGGACATCAATCTAACTGCGAATGAATTGGAGTGTGAATGAGCCTCAGTAGTACGAGCGCGTCTCTGTGCATGAGCCTGGGGCCTCCTGGGGCCTCCTGAAACCTACTGGGGCTTCCTGGGGTCTCCAGGAGCCTCTTGGGACCTCCTGGGACCTCCTAGGAAGGTTTCGTGCCCCAGGGGAGGCGCAATCTATAGCAACAGACGTACATAAAACATTGCGGATTAGAGCCACAGGAGAAGGGCAATCTATAGGAACACGCGTAAAACACCAAGGACTCGTGCCCCAGGAGAGGCCCAATACATAGGAACATGAGTAAAACATTTAGGATTGTGTACACAGGAGAAGGACCATCTATAGAAACATACGTAGAACATCAAAGAAACGTGCTCCAGGTGAGGCCCAATCGATAGGAGCATACGTAAAACACATGGGATTGGAGCCACTCCTGTTGCCTTCTGAGGCCTCCTGCTCCTGGGGCCTCTCGGGGCCTCCTGTTGCCTTCCGAGGCCTCCTGGCGCTTCCTGTTGTCTCCTGGGGTCTCCTGTGGTTTCCTGAGGCCTTCTGGAGCTTCCTGGGGCCTCCTGGAGCCTCTTGGGACATCCTGTGGCCTCTTGAGTCTTTCTGTGGCCTCCTGATGCCTCCTGGGACCTCATGTGGTCTCCTGGGGCCTCCTGGAGCCTGTTGGAGCCTCCTGTGGCATCCTGCGAAGAATCTGCGCCCACGAGCCTGGCCACCAAAACAAGCAAACCGATCGAGACATCCTCAAAATCTGGCCCACCTGGGGGGTGAAAATGAGCGCCTCGCTCGAGACATCCTCCAAATCTGCTCCGAAAGCGAAGGATGTTGGGCCCAGAAACAAGCAAACCGCCTGAGACATCCCCACAAAATGGCCGCGAACGAGCCCGTGCAACCACCCCTGGCGGCTCCCCTTAGGGTGCTGAAATGAGCGCCTCGCTCGAGACATCCTCCAAATCTGTTCCGAAAGCGAAGGATGTTGGGCACAGAAACAGGCAAACCGCCTGAGACATCCCCACAAAATGGCCGCGAACGAGCCCGTGCAACCACCCCTGGCGGCTCCCCTTAGGGGTGCTGAAATGAGCGCCTCGCTCGAGACATCCTCCAAATCTGCTCCGAAAGCGAAGGATGTTGGGCACAGAAACAAGCAAACCGCCTGAGACATCCCCACAAAATGGCCGCGAACGAGCCCGTGCAACCACCCCTGGCGGCTCCCCTTAGGGGTGCTGAAATGAGCGCCTCGCTCGAGACATCCTCCAAATCTGCTCCGAAAGCGAAGGATGTTGGGCACAGAAACAGGCAAACCGCCTGAGACATCCCCACAAAATGGCCGCGAACGAGCCCGTGCAACCACCCCTGGCGGCTCCCCTTAGGGGTGCTGAAATGAGCGCCTCGCTCGAGACATCCTCCAAATCTGCTCCGAAAGCGAAGGATGTTGGGCACAGAAACAGGCAAACCGCCTGAGACATCCCCACAAAATGGCCGCGAACGAGCCCGTGCAACCACCCCTGGCGGCTCCCCTTAGGGGTGCTGAAATGAGCGCCTCGCTCGAGACATCCTCCAAATCTGCTCCGAAAGCGAAGGATGTTGGGCACAGAAACAGGCAAACCGCCTGAGACATCCCCACAAAATGGCCGCGAACGAGCCCGTGCAACCACCCCTGGCGGCTCCCCTTAGGGGTGCTGAAATGAGCGCCTCGCTCGAGACATCCTCCAAATCTGTTCCGACAGCGAAGGATGTTGGGCACAGAAACAGGCAAACCGCCTGAGACATCTCCACAAAATGGCCGCGAACGAGCACGTGCAACCACCCCTGGCGGCTCCCCTTAGGGGTGCTGAGTATGAGTAAGTCTGTGTATGAGTCAGTCTGTGTATGAGTAAGTCTGGGTATGAGTAGGTCTGTGTATGAGAAAGTCTGTGTATGTGTACGTCTGGGTATGAGTAAGTCTGAGTATGGCTAATACTGTGTATGAGTAAGTCTGGGTATGAGTGAGTCTGTGTATGAGTACGGCTGGGTGTGACTGCGTCTGTGTATGAGTAAGTCTGTGTATGCGTATGTCTGAGTGTGAGTACGTCTGAGTATGAGTAGGTCTGAGTATGAGTAAGTCTGGGTATGAGTAAGTCTGTGTACGAGCAGGTCTGAGTATGAGTAAGCCCGACAGGAGGGGAGGAGAAAAGAGGAGGAGGAAGGAGGAGGAGTAGGAGGCGTCCAAGTAATAAGTATTCACCGCGTGGAGCTCCCCATATGTGCATCTACTCGCATGGACCTGTCCGCCGTGAATGTCTACGCGCAACAGCTTTCGAATATTAACGGGCTTCAGTTGTGACGGTCTGGACATCAATCTAACTGCGAATGAATTGGAGTGTGAATGAGCCTCGGTGGTACGAGCGCGTCTCTGTGCATGAGCCTGGGGCCTCCTGGGGCCTCCTGAAACCTACTGGGGCGTCCTGGGGACTCCAGGAGCCTCTTGGGACCTCCTGGGACCTCCTAGGAAGGTTTCGTGCCCCAGGGGAGGCGCAATCTATAGCAACAGACGTACATAAAACATTGCGGATTAGAGCCACAGGAGAAGGGCAATCTATAGGAACACGCGTAAAACACCAAGGACTCGTGCCCCAGGAGAGGCCCAATACATAGGAACATGAGTAAAACATTTAGGATTGTGTACACAGGAGAAGGACCATCTATAGAAACATACGTAGAACATCAAAGAATCGTGCTCCAGGTGAGGCCCAATCGATAGGAGCATACGTAAAACACATGGGATTGGAGCCACTCCTGTTGCCTTCTGAGGCCTCCTGCTCCTGGGGCCTCTCGGGGCCTCCTGTTGCCTTCCGAGGCCTCCTGGCGTTTCCTGTTGTCTCCTGGGGCCTCCTGTGGTTTCCTGATGCCTTCTGGAGCTTCCTGGGGCCTCCTGGAGCCTCTTGGGACATCCTGTGGCCTCTTGAGTCTTTATGTGGCCTCCTGATGCCTCCTGGGACCTCATGTGGTCTCCTGGAGCCTCCTGGAGCCTGTTGGAGCCTCCTGTGGCATCCTGAGAAGAATCTGCGCCCACGAGCCTGGCCACCAAAACTAGCAAACCGATCGAGACATCCTCAAAATCTGGCCCACCTGGGGGGTGAAAATGAACGCCTCGCTCGAGACATCCTCCAAATCTGCTCCGAAAGCGAAGGATGTTGGGCACAGAAACAAGCAAACCGCCTGAGACATCCCCACAAAATGGCCGCGAACGAGCCCGTGCAACCACCCCTGGCGGCTCCCCTTAGGGGTGCTGAAATGAGCGCCTCGCTCGAGACATCCTCCAAATCTGCTCCGAAAGCGAAGGATGTTGGGCACAGAAACAGGCAAACCGCCTGAGACATCCCCACAAAATGGCCGCGAACGAGCCCGTGCAACCACCCCTGGCGGCTCCCCTTAGGGGTGCTGAAATGAGCGCCTCGCTCGAGACATCCTCCAAATCTGCTCCGAAAGCGAAGGATGTTGGGCACAGAAACAGGCAAACCGCCTGAGACATCCCCACAAAATGGCCGCGAACGAGCCCGTGCAACCACCCCTGGCGGCTCCCCTTAGGGGTGCTGAAATGAGCGCCTCGCTCGAGACATCCTCCAAATCTGCTCCGAAAGCGAAGGATGTTGGGCACAGAAACAGGCAAACCGCCTGAGACATCCCCACAAAGTGGCCGCGAACGAGCCCGTGCAACCACCCCTGGCGGCTCCCCTTAGGGGTGCTGAGTATGAGTAAGTCTGTGTATGAGTAAGTCTGTGTATGTGTACGTCTGGGTATGACTAATACTGTGTATGAGTAAGTCTGTGTATGAGTAAGTCTGTGTATGAGTATGTATGAGTGTGAGTAAGTCTGAGCATAAGTAGGTCTGAATATGAGTAAGTCTGAGTATGAGTAAATCTGTGTATGAGCAAGTCTGAGTATGTCCGACAGGAGGGGAGGAGAAAAGAGGAGGAGGAAGGAGGAGGAGGAGTAGGAGGCGTCCAAGTAATAACAAGAACCCCATCTTAGGATATGGGGAACAAGAACCCCATCTTAGGATATGGGGAAAAATCCCCAGACTATTTTGTGAGTATTTTTGAATATTCCCCGTGTAGAGGGACAGGCCCGACTTAGGGCCAGGGAGGGAGGGCGTGGCACCGGGGCAGGACCTGAACGATGTTTTTGTTCGTCTCGTTGCTGTTTTGTGTGTCGTTCTGCTCGGCCCGCTTCTCGTTGCTCGTCATGTTTGTGTTTCCCCGTGTAGAGGGACAGGCCCGACTTAGGGCCAGGGAGGGAGGGCGTGGCACCGGGGCAGGACCTGAACGATGTTTTTGTTCGTCTCGTTGCTGTTTTGTGTGTCGTTCTGCTCGGCCCGCTTCTCGTTGCTCGTCATGTTTGTGTTTCGTCATTCGTGGTGCGTTTGTTCCGTTTTTTTGCTCGGCATGCGTTCCTGCACCTCCCCGCCAAAACGAAGAACAAAACACGGCCGAGGTCCGGCAAAACAGCGTTCATATCCAGCCCTGCCAGAGAGGAGGGCCAGGGAGGAAGGGCCTGGCGCATCGTGCCGTCGGCGCGTGTCGTAGGGATGCGCGATAATGAAGGGGCCCTGGGACACACCAATAAATACACACAAATAACAGGATTCCCCAGATGTTCCCACATTATCTGGGTTTTTGTCTTCCCCCCACTTCCCATATGCCCCCATACTTCCCCTGGGAGTCGACGATGCATTGTGTCTGTGTGCGTTTCGTTCCACTCCTGAGGTGAGGCCGCGCGGGTTTCGGGCGCCCGGCTCGAAGCTTCTCGGGCGGGGCGCGGCCGGCGGAGGTGGCCAGGGACGGGCCGAGGCGAGGCGCGAGGCGAGGCGAGGCGAGGGCCCCGGCGTCGGGCACGCGGGTGTGCCCCCGTGGCCTTTTGGGCGGGGCGCAAGGGGCCGTGGCCTCAGGTCGTGTCCGAATAGACGTCGTGGACGAAGTTCCTCAAGGACCAGCGGCGGGACGGGAAAATGACCACGGCCACTGCTTCTTGTCTGCGCCGCCGTCCAGCCGGCCGAAAAAGACGCAGCGGCTGTGGTCAGTTCCCTGGTGCCGAGCTCAGCGAAAATGACCACGGCCACTGCTTCGTTTCTGCGGGCTGCAGGGCGGCAACCAAAGAAAAGCAGTGGCTGTGGTCGTTTTCACGCCCCGTAACCAGCGGCCAGGGATGGGCCGAGGAGGCACGGAGGCCAGGGGCCCCCCAGTCGGGCTGCCCAACCTGGCTGTGCGGGCCGACGGCACGACCCGAGGCGGGTGCGCGGGCGCGGGGGGGGGGGCAGGCAGGCAGCGCACCGCAAGGAGGAAGGGGCCCTGGGACACACAAATAGATGGACACGAATAGCAGGATCCCCCATAGTTTCCCATGTGTTCTGGGTTTTTTGTCTCCCCCCCCACTTCCCATCTTTTCCCATGTTTTCTGGGGAATCGACGATTAACTGTGTCTGTGTGTTTCGTTCTCTCCTGGAAGAAGAAGAAGAAGAAGAAGAAGAAGAAGAAGAAGAAGAAGAAGAAGAAGAAACAAGGAAGGGCCAGAAGATCTAGGAGACATCACGGCCCCGGCCATGCGATTCGCACCCCTGGCCCTCACCCGAGCCCTCACCCACCTCTCGGGCGCCCCCGACGGCCGTCCACCCCGACGTCTGCCGACCTGATGCCTGCTAAACCCGCTGCTCTGAAGACCCGACCGCTTCCCCATGGAGTGCTCTTCGGCCACGGATCCGTTCTTGAGGGCCCTGGGGCCCTAGAACTAGGTCGGGCATGTCCCCCCCTACAGGGGGGCGGGTGGACGAACACCTAAGAATAGTGAAAACAGGATCCAGAAATTGTCAAAAATAGGATTTTGAGGGCCCTGGGGCCCTAGAATTGGGTCGGGCATGTCCCCCATACAGGGGGGGGGTTGGACGAACACCTACGAATAGGGAAAACAGGACTCAGAAATTGTCAACAAAAATCGTTTCACTAAAAGCGGTAGGCGTCCAGGCTTCAGCCGGGGTTTCCCCCCACAGGGGGATGTTCGACGAAGAATAGAAAATACTACAAAAATACTCCCAAATTGTCAGAAAATATTCGAAAAATCGTCCCCGTACTATTCTTTGACCGTTTTTGAATAGTCCTCCTGTCGAGGGACACGCCCGACTCGACCCCAGACTGACCCCCCGAGGGCCCACGCCGCGGAGAAAAACGCCTGGGCCTCCCCCCCCAAAAGAAGCCTGCCCTCGGAGAGCCCTGGGCACCTCCCCGACCCTCTGGCCGCGCCGATCGTGCGCCTGGCCGGTCCTCCTCCTCCTCCTCCTCCTCCTCCTCCTCCTCCTCCTCCTCCTCCTCCTCCTCCTCCTCCTCCTCCTCCTCCTGACTCCTCCTCCTGACTCCTCCTGACTCCTCCTCCTGACTCCTCCTCCTGACTCCTCCTGATCCTCCTCCTGACTCCTCCTCCTCCTCCTCCTCCTCCTCCTCCTCCTCCTCCTCCTCCTCTCCTCCTCCTCCTCCTCCTCCTCCTCCTCCTCCTCCTCCTCCTCCTCCTCCTCCTCCTCCTCCTCCTGACTCCTCCCCTGACTCTCCTGACTCCTCCTCCTGACTCTTCCTCCTGATCCTCCTGATCCTCCTCCTGCTCCTCCTCCTCCTCCTCCTCCTCCTCCTCCTCCTCCTCCTCCTCCGCCTCCTCCTCTGGCGGTGGACAGACCTCCCTTTAGTAAACATCCCCTTAGTGAAAACGGCATGGGACCGAAACCGACGGACCTGGACCCGCAGAAATAACGGCCGCGACGCCTCCTCGCGAACCGAAAACGGCCAATTCCTTAATCGACGTGTCAGGGTAGGTCTGTCCGCCCCCGGCTCCTCCTCCTCCTCCTCCTCCTCCTCCTCCTCCTCCTCCTCCTCCTCCTGACCTCCTGACTCCTCCTGACTCCTCCTGACTCCTCCTGACTCCTCCTCCTCCTCCTCCCTCCTCCTCCTCCTCCTCCTCCCTCCTCCTCCCTCCTCCTCTCCTCCTCCTCCTGACTCTCCTCCTCCTCCTCCTCCTCCTCCTCCTCCTCCTCCTCCTCCTCCTCCTCCTCCTCCTCCTCCTCCTCCTCCTCCTCCTCCCTGGCCGGGCCGGCAGGAGGGCACCTGCGCCGATCCTCAGGACCAGGGTTGAGCATCGTTTGACCGCTCCCTATCCCCACGGGCGTGGCCTGGGCCACACTGGCCGGCGTATCCCCCCGGTTGGGGATACAGGCTGCTCCCTTCGAGCGTCGAGGGGCAGATCCCCACCTGGGGTGGTGGGATGGTAGGGATCTGGACGGGGACGGAGAAGGGGATAGGGATCGGTTAAACGATGCTGAAGGGTGGGCCCGGCCGGTATGAAGGGGTCAAGACCAAGCCAGGACGAGGACAAAATCGGGTGTGACAAACCGAGAATCTCTGAGATCCGGCGGTTCTGGAGGACGTCTCGGGCGCCGCGGCCTTCTCAAAGCGTTCCGGAACGCTCTGAGAGCGCTCCGGAACGCTCTGGAACGGAGTCATCCTCGTCCTAGCCTTAGGTCGGGCGTGTCCTCCTACAGGCGGATTTTGGAAGAAAAATACAAAAATAATCAAAACTGACTCAATCTCATCCTAAAAAATCGTCCCCGGACAATTCTTTACTACTGCTGGATGGACATTCCTCCTGTAGAGGGACAGGCCTGAGTTGATCCTAGCCCCGTCCCAAGGGTTCGGGAGCGGCCAAGAGGGGGGTGTCCAGGAAGGGAGGGTGCAAATCATGACCGGCGGCATGTGCGCGGCCCAACGGGGGGGCCAGGGACGTAATGAAACAAGAAGAGGCGCCATGAAATCTGGGGAAATATCATGGCCCCCGCCATGATATCCACCCCCCCCCCTAGTCATCACCCCCCTCTTTTCCGCCCCCGACGGGTGGGTGGCTGGTGCCCTGCGAATCTGTGCCCTCGCGATCTGGACTCCTGGGACCGCTCCCGGTGGAGGCTCCCGGCGCCCCTCGTCGCGGCAGAGGCGCGCCTGGCGTCCGGCTGCCGTGCGCGGCCTCCGGCCGGGGGCCCGCGCCGGGCCTCGGGACCGTCGCAGACCGCCCAGGATGATTTTTTCCTTTTTTGTTTGGGGGGGGGCCAAAGCTCTGAGGGTTGGCGCTGTGAAGAATGACGACGGCGGGATCCTGGAGCAACGCAGGCGCGACGTATCCGCGCAGAGCCACCGTGTCTCCACGGGGCTGCAGCCGAGGGGTCCAGACCGCGAGGAAGTGGATGTCGGCATGTTTCCCACCCGCTGCGTCCCGGGTTCATCGTCGCATGGCTCGATGATGAGGCGGAACATCTCTTTCCTGCCCACCCGCCTTTCTTCGCAGTCTCCGTCCCACTCATCACACCAGCCGCCTGGGCGCAGGTGGTTTAGGGCATCGGCTCTTCCCAACCTAGTCCCCCCCTCCCCCTATCCCCTCGTTGGGGGTCTGAACCCCCAGTCGCCAGCAGTCGGCATTTCCCAGACGGTCATGAAAGGCCCTCTAGAATCCTAGACGGCCTCCAGAGGCACCGGACGTGCCAACAGCGCCCTAAGACGGCCCATTAAGGGTCCAAAATGGCCTAAGAGGGCCCCAGAAAGACCCCAAGAATGCGCAACAGGGCCGGGTGAGAGACACAAGACAGCCCCAAAATGGCCCACAGTGCCTCTCGACGCGCTGATTGACACCACGTCTGCATTGCACTACGTATACAATATCGGCAACAAATGCCGTGCGTTCGAGGCTTTCGGGGACCGTGGCTGCGGAAAGCTATCGTACTACTTATCGCATTATTTGTTTAAGGGCTGAACTCTGTCACGCAAGCGCGGACACCATATACCAATACTCCTGGGAGTGGCAAAAGGCAGAGGGAGGCGGTGATTCGCCGTAGGCGCCGTCGATATGGAGTGAATACACAGCTGACGTTAATAAGAATATGTCATACAACATGCAAACGATGAAAATTACAACACGTACTTACACTTCTCACTGTGGTCAACCATGGTTCTCGTAAAACACCGCACCCTCGATCGAAAAGAAACAAGTACTTACGTATGAGGTGTACACAAGCGGCAGCTATCGACGATGGTTAATGCACCCTGCGCGCGGCGATACATTTCTATGTCGGAGGGAAGCAGATCTCGTAATTGGGCACGGGAGGGGCGCATATCCAATCATCCCGAAGCCCCCTCTCCTGATGTCCACGGAAGCAACAGGGAGGATGGCGACCTCGACAAACGCGTTCATCACTCCATCTGCGAACTCCAGCACCCCCGACGCGTCCTCGTAATCCTTATGGACGTCAAAGGCATCCTCTCCCCCTCCTCCTTCTCATCATCCATCGAAACCCTCACCTGACCGCCTTCGTCTCATCCTCATCATCATCATCATCATCATCATCATCATCCTGCTTCTCCTTCTCCTTCTCCTCAGCTTACTCTTCGTACACATCATCATGCTCCTCGTTCTCCGTCTGGCTGTCTCCCGCCTGCTCCTCCTGATCCTCATCCTCTTCCTGTTCCTCGCCTCTCGTATTATCCACCTTGCCCGCATCCTCCTCCATCTCCTCAAACCCCTCCAACTAGCCCTTCTTCTCATCTTTCACATCACTGCGACCCTCTTGTCCCGAATTACCCCACTCATCCTCCACCTAAACCGCCCCCTCCTGCTCACCACCACCACCACCATCATCATCATCATCATCAGCAGCAGCAGCAGCAGCATCATCATCATCATCATCATCATCATCATCATCATCAGCAGCAGCAGCAGCAGCAGCAGCAGCAGCAGAATCATCATCATTATTGTCCATGTTCCCCTCCTCGTCCTCCTCCTCATCATTATTATTGTCAGTATCACCATCGGCATCATCATCAACATCATCATCAGCATCATCATAATCGTCATCAAGTTTCTCATCCCCGTCATATTGATCGTCCTCCTCCTGCCCCCACAGTTCGATTATCCTCCTCTGCCTCATCATCAGTATCACCTTCCTAGTCATCCTCCTCCTACTCCCCACCATCGCCCTCCCTCTCCACAATTACAAAGATTTCTCAGCCCCTGTCCTTGCCAGCCTTGGCCGACGCGTCCTCGGTACGATAAGCACACTTGAGCATTCCGTGGCAGCCCCCCACGCGCTCGATCTTGATCTGCTTCTTCAAACGCTGAGGAGGCTCTGCGACCATGGTCATTTGGCCACCCTCTTGGACAGGAGGCACACGAATAGCCACAGGCCCTCCCTGGGCAAATAATAATGATAGTGAGATAGTGGGATAGTGAGAGTTAGAGTTGATAGTGAGATAGAAAGATAAACGCTGAATCGTGATATTGATAGTGCTGTTGATGGATACATCAGAGAATAAACACTCGCGATGGAAACTAAACGCTTGATGGTAAGAGCTTCTTTGTTTCGAGATCGTCTGCCTGGTTGCCAGTGGGACTCCCGCCCTCAGGATGGCCAAACCAACCACGGCTCTGCTACGGACACGCTGTCGCACTCGAACGTCAGCTCCCCGGGACTGTCCGAGTCCAACACGACCACTGTCGCGATGTTCTTAAGTCCCACGATCCCGGCCCCAGGAACTGGCAAAAGCTCCACGTAGAATTCCTCTGTGGACTCGTGGTTCTTGTCCTCGACGATGCTGATATCTATGGTCTTCTCGTTGGTGTCTCCTGGAAGCCAATCCAGTTGCCCTTGTGCATGCACATAGTCCTACGGAACATGAGTGCAGAAACTTCAGCGGTCTCCAAATTTACTTAGCAACCACACCAGCCCTTCTGCGACAAGCGCCCATCCTCCAGTGAGGGGTTCAGCACGACCGTTTACTCGCTGACACTGGGGCGTCAACGTCAGCGGACCGATTATCTCAGGACATTCGCGTCCCTGGTTGAGACTGGTGGCGACGATAAGCACAGGACATAGCATAACTTTCATGCTTGATCACTTGACAATCAGAAACAACTAAATGGTCGGGCACCCCTCGATCCTTCCATTTCCGTGTCCAGCTGCGCCTCCAAGATGCCCCCAAGGTGGCCCAAGAGGACCCCGAGAAGCCGATGGGGCAGTCTAGGAGACTCTCCAGGTACGGCAGACGAAAGCCCCACGATGCCCCCAAGATGCCCCGAAGAGCTCCCTACGAGGGCGCCACACCCTCGAGAAGCCCCGAGCATTGCCAAAAAGGCCAACTAGGACGGCCGAGGAGGCATGCTTAGAGGCCCCAAAAGGCCAACACAACGCCTCAACAAATCGCCTAAATGAACCCACAGAGACCCCAAAGAGGCGCGACAATGACTCCCAGCATTTTAAGTGGGGTTTGGGTGCTCTATCCCACCCGCGTCGCACCAGCGTCTCTCCTCCTGACGCTCTGCGTGATTTTGAACTGTACCCCGACATCGATGTTCTACTCCCGACAGCGCCGCCCCCTCTCCCCATTCCTGCACTCCCTCGGGCCACGCCCGCAGGGCCCCGCGGGCCGGAGCCCGTCCAGACACCCGAGCCCCTCCCGAGCAGGCGGCGAGGCGCGAGGCGGGGAGCTTCTCCAGCACCACCCCCGTGGGCGGTCGGTCCCTGGGTACCTCGGCAGGCCACGAGCAGGGACGCGTGTCGGCCCCCAGGGGGGCCCGCAGAGATCCGGGTCTCCGCCGCCTGCCGAGGCCGCCCGGGATCGGCCCCCAGGGGCGGGCGCGATGGAGGCATCCCAGCCCAGGGACTCTGTGAAGGGCGAGGGGGAGGAAGAGGAGGAGGAGGAGGAGGGCGAGGAGGAGGAGGAGGGCTCCTCCTCCTCCTCCTTCTCCTCCTCCTCCTCCTCCTCCTCCTCCTCCTCCTCCTCCTCCTCCTCCTCCTCAGGGCACCACGGCCGCGGGGGACGCCCGCGTGTCCTGGTCTTTCAGCGCGGTGCCCGGGACCGTCCTGTACCTGCACGAGGCAGCGGCGTGCTCGTTGCCGCCCCGCATCACTCTCACCGAGACCTTCTTCTCCATCTCCGAGACGGCGTACACGTCCTGCCCCCTCTCAGACGAAGCCACTCAGTCACAAAGTCGGACAGTGATAAATCGGGAGTCGCTGAGCTCCGATGGTTCTTCAGGACGTATGGGGCACAGCGGCCTTCGCAGATCATTTTCCGGAACGCTTTGAGAGCGTTGCAGAACGCCCTAGAGCGATACCAACCCTGTCCTAGCCCCCCGCCAGAACCCTCCCGCCGATCTCCCTCACTCGCTCCGGGTCTAGAATGCGGAGTGGCGACGTGGCGTGCGCTGGCGATGAGATGCCTAAACAGGGATGCCGTCGGATCGAACTGCGCCGCCATGCCGAAAAAAGGAGGAGGGAGAGGGCGCCGCAAAAGGGGGCGGACGGAGCGAGCGGCTCGGGGGGGGGGGGGCGGAGCGCTCCCCGAGCGAGCGGCACACCCACCCACACACACACACACACACACACACACACACACGCGCAGCTCACTGCACATGCAGCCCGCAGCCGTGCCTCAAGGGGCGAAGTGGAGTGTCCTCAGGTCGTCTCCAGAGTTCTCTGGATCGAATACTACAGGTGTGATGTGTGAAGGGCCCACCGCCACGCTACTGGGCGCTGCCAGGGCTCCTCGCGAGTTCTCGCTCGACGTTTCAGGAGGCAAGAAGGCCCCCCAGACGGGCCACAACGGCCCAAGCGGCCCCCCAAGACGGTCCGAGAAGGCCCCGTATCATCGAAGGATCTTTTCAAGACAACAAAATGGCCCCCAGACGGCCCAAGAGGGCCCCTAAGACGCATGAAGAGGGTTCTGAGAAGCCCTCCGAGAGGGCCCCGAGAGGCCCAATAGTGACTTTAGCTCTCTCGCCTTTTCGGGCTTTCGACGCACGGCACAAGAGGCCCCCCATATCGCCACAAGACGGCCAAGAGGCCTCCAAGAGGGCGCCCCAACACGGCCCAAGACGGCCCAAGAGAGGCCCAATAGAGGCCCCACAGGCTGAACACGACCGGACACGGGTGCTGGCGGTAAACAGTAGTCGACCTTAACTACCGCCGGAAACTATCCGAGCTTCTTTTTCTGTATATTGCCGTTCTTTACACTGGAGGGTCCCATAGCCGGTCGAAATCTCAAGACTCGATCGTGGAAGGGGACGACACAATACAGAGTAGTTGCAGCGCGAAAGTCACTTTTCGAGCACAGCTCGAGTAGTGGGCCGATCTCGACGCTCTCGAGCTTGCGAACTGATGCGTTCGACAAAGGCCGATGCTATGGTAGAGCCTAGGATCTCCAAAGCCGCCCTGAATATCAAGATCCACTCGAGACACAATTCGACGCAGAACAATTACAGCGCGAAACTAGTTTTTCGAGTACAGCTCGAATAATAAGATTTCGGCACCCTCGAGGTTGCAAACTGATGCACTCGGTGATGCGCGATGCCCAATCCAATAGCGAGCATAAGAGCTTCGTAACTGCTCAGAATATTGAGATCAAGTCGAAAAGCAGTTCGACTCAGCAGAACAGTCACAGTGTGAGGGCCGATCTTGGCGCCCTCGAGGTTGCAAACTGATGCTTTCGACGACGTCCGATCCAATGGTACGCCCGATAGCTCTGCAACTACTCTAAACTCCTAAATCCCTAAATCCCGAGATGAGGTCGAGAAACAGTTTGACTTGTAGCGAAAAGGCTGCAGCGCAGTCAAGAGGGGACCAAGAAGAGGCCCCCGAGGGGGAACGCGAGCGGACAACTCGAGCCCTCCGCCCCAAGATGATCCCCGAGACCAGCAAGCAGGCCTCCAGGAGGTGCCCCAGAAGCTCCAGGAGGCCCCCAACCACCCCTCCACCCCTCCATCTTCTGACCATCATCCTCCCTCATCCGTATTTAACCGGGCCCCGGGACACACCAATAAATACACACAGAAATCCCAGGATTCCCCATGTTTCACAATAATCCCACCAGCCCTCTGGGCGTAGGTGGTTTAGGGAGTTTCCTCTTCCACCCCTCCTTTTTCCCCTTCGGGGAAAGGTTTATCACTGTTCCCTATTAATATACACCCCCTCCCTCAGGCGACTGGGAGCCAACCCAGGTCCATGCGGCCGGGCACCCCCCCACCATCCGTTTTGAAAAACCATACAAAACACACCCTGCCCCCACCATCCCTTGTAAAAACCATTGGAAGAAAACAAACAGAAACTCTGTCTCCAAATTCGGAGCATGCGCAGCGAACCCAATGCGGCCTCCCCCCCCCATCCCTGTCAAAAAACAAAAAAGAATACAGTTGGCGGCGGCGGCGGCTGCGGCGGCTGCGGCGGGGGCAGCGGCTGCGGCGGCTGCGGCGGCTGCGGCGGCGGGGGCGGCGGCGGCGGCGGGGGCGGCGGCGGCGGCGGCGGCGGCGGCAGCGGTGATGCGATGCGATGCGATGCGATGCGACCACCGTTGCGGACAGCGTCCGGGCCTAGACCAGGTGGGTGAGGCCATGGCCTCTAGGATTTGAGGTGTCTGGATTCATGCAATGCGAAACATGTAAAAAGTTAGGAGGAGAGGGGGAGGAGGAGGAGGAAAAGAAAGTCCTTGGTGTCGGTGTCTGCGCGGGTTGGGCGAGATTACGTCATTGGTCTCAATCCCGGGTGCTGGTCGACGTGAGGTCGGTGAAGTGGTGCTCGAGCGCTGTCCATGCTTCGGTGTTTTGGGCTGTTCGCGTCCATGTCATGTCGTTCGGTTGTCCTTTCGAATGGGATTGCGTGGGCGGTCGGTGGAGGTCTGGTCTGCGTTGACGTAAGTAAGTGGTGATTTCGTCGTCCCAGCGCTTATTTTGGCCACCGTGCTGCCTGTGTCCCTCCTGGCGCGGGTTGAAGACTGGGTTGAGCACTGTGTCCCTGCTGGCGCGGGTTGAGGGTTGTGTCCCTGCTCGCAGCGGCAGCGGTGGCGGCAGCGACTGCGGCGGCAGCGGCTGCGGCGGCGGCGATTTGGCAGCGGGGGCGGCGGCGGCGCGGCGCCGGCGGCGGCGGCGGCAGAGGCGGCGGCGGCGGCGGCGGCGGATTCGCCACCAGTAGCTGGCCAACCAAAGACGACTGCTGCGTATGCTGCGGCTCGGGCCAGGCTCGGGTGCTGCGTATGTATTGGGAGGGCGGGTGGAAGTGAGCGAGACGGCTTGCGGGCGGGGAGGGAGACTCTTGACCCCTCCCCCGACCCCCTCCCCTGGACGTGGACAGGGGGTTCCCCGAGGTGTCGGAGCGTCCAAAACGGCCTCGGCGAGGAAGCCAAAATCATTGGTTTTACCAAGGTTTTGGCCCCATTTTGGCCTCTTGGGGGGGGGACGTTACTTGAAGCTCCCCTCCTGTTTGATCGATCTCCTCCACGATGGCCCCAAGAAGCGCCCAGGAGGCCCCAAGAGGTCCCAAGATGGTCCCAAGATGGTCCCAAGAGGCCCCCAAGAGGCCCCCAAAAGGATCCCAAGCGGCCCCAAGAGGCCCCCCCGAGGCACCCAAGACGCCGAAGAGCCCCCCACGACCGCCAAGAGACCCCCAAGACGTCCCAAAACGCCCAAGAGATACCCCAAGAGGCTCCGAGAAGCATCCAAGAGACCTCTGGCCCTCTTGTTTGCTCTCCTCCTCCTCCTCCTTCCTCCTCCTATTCCTTCCCATCCTCATCCTCCCCCTCCGCCTCCTCCTCCTCCTCCTCCTCCTCCTCCTCCTCCTCCTCCTCATCATCATCATCATCATCATCATCATCATCATCATCATCATCATCATCATCATCATCATCATCATCATCATCATCATCATCATCATCATCATCATCATCATCATCATCATCATCATCATCACAGCATCATCATCATCATCATCATCATCATCATCATCATCATCATCATCATCATCATCATCATCATCATCATCATCATCATCATCATCATCATCATCATCATCATCATCATCATCATCATCATCATCATCATCATCATCATCATCATCATCATCATCATCATCATCATCATCCTATACTCCTTCATACAAATCAATCAAATTTTCTCCTTCGCCCCCTCTCTCCTTCACACGGTTCGGCCGTCCCCTTCTTTGCTCCCGCACTTCCCTGATCACCTCCCAACTCGCCTGGACATTTTTTCTGGATGGGCTGGTGGGGATACTTTTTTAGTCAGCAGCTGCAGGCGAGCGCGCCAGCGGCGAGTCCTGTCAAAGCGGGGCACGCAGCGACAAAGCAACCTAAAGCAACGGGGCGCAGCCTCACCTAAAGCGGCTAGGCGGAGCCTCACGCAGCACCTGAGCGGCGCACTGGCGAGTGGAAGGGGCTGGCTGAAACTGAGTCGTACTGCCAGCGCGCAAAGAGCTGGTGGGGATACTTTTTCCTCGCGGGCGCAAGCGAAAGCGCAGGCGCCGAGTTGAAAGGTCTGGGCCACGGGCCGATCTAATTAACACGCGCGGGCAAAGCCGCCAACGGCGTGAGGGGAGGAGGGACTGGTGGGGATACGTTTTTTTGGTCGCGGCCGCGAGCGAAGAGCGCAGGCGGCGAACAGGGTGTCCGGGCCGACGGGCAAGCCAAATTAGCTACTGGGCGCAGCACAAGCCGGCCGGGCCAGCTCACAAGGCGGCAGCTGGGGCAGCAGGGCGGGGGCTGGCTGGCTGAACTGGATCGCCCAGGGAAACTGGTGGGGATACGTTTTTTCCGACCGCGGCCACGAGCGAAGAGCGCACGCGGCGAACACGGTGTCCGGGCCGACGGGCAAGCCTAATTAGCTACAAGACGCGCCGCAAGCCGGCCGGCCCACTCACAAAGCAGCCGCGGGGCTGCGCGGGGAGCTGACGAGACATCCTGGGAAGCTCGGGCACGTGCAGTCTGACAAAATGTCGAGAAATTCGTTGCCTGCCGTGGGGCATAACCCACACAGAGACATGACGTGCACCGGGGCAAACGTGCCCGTCATACTGAATGGGGGCAGGCTCGAAGCCCGACGAGCGAGTCGCCAGTGGGGCGCCAGGCCCAATCCGTCCCAACGACGTGCGCTGGCTACGGGAGCGGAGCTGCCGAAGAACGTGGAACGACGCAACCTGCCGGAAGAGGGGGGGATGAGCCCAGGGCGCTGCTGCGGCTGCGAAAGGCTGAACCACTCCGTCGCGGTCACAGCACCACTGGTGGGGATATGTTTTGGGGGTCAGCGGCCCCGAGACTAAGGTCAGGAAGCGGAGGCGACGTCCGGGCCACGGGCGAGGCTAATTTGCAAGACAATTCGCCGCCAGCCAGAGTAGACTGGTGGGGATATTTGTTTTATCTGCGGCCCCAAGGAAGGCTCCAGAGGGCGGGTCAATCGAGCTACTGGTGGGGATACTTTTTTGATCTGCGGCTCCAAGGACGATTCCAGAGAGCGGGTCGGATCTAGCATGAGTCAGCACGCAAGATAATTACCAGCGGGCCAAAAGCCGACGCCAGAGTGCACAAGCGCCAAAGAGAGCAAGCTTGAAGCCAAGCGAGATAATTACCAGCGGGCCAAAAGCCAACGCTGGGATGCACATGCAAGGGGAAAAACCAAAGAGGCCCAAAGCCAGACGGCGGGCAGGTAGTACCAGCGGGCCAAAAGCCGACGCCTGAGGGAACCTGCACGGAGAAATGAACCGCATGCCGACGACCCGGCACACGGTGAAAGCGATGCTTGAACCAGGAACCCTCACACACGGAGCAACAAAGGCACAGGGACAGCTGCACGCAACCAGTAGGTTGAAGCACCACTGCACACGGTCGTTAGACGAAGTGCGTCGAGGGGGGCGTGGGCCTTCCCGCCGACCGCACCAGGCCGAGGCGAGCCCGGGCGGGCAAAGACCATGTCCGAGAACGATTCACGTGCCGCTCGAATGCCCGGGCGGGCGAGGCGGGCCCATGCTCGAGGGAACCACTGGTGGGGATACGCGAAGCGTCTAGAATTTTCTGGGTGTTCGCCTTCCCTCCCCTTCCCATAAATTCCCATATGTTCCATGGAGTCGCCCATGAATTGTGTCTGTGTGTGTTTTCCCCCGCTTCCGCTGCTAGCTCCCCGCCCAAACGTCTACCCCGCCGCCGCCTGGCCCTGCTCTGAGCGGGCCCGGCTTCCTATCCCTCCCGCCCGCGCCGGGCTTCCTTCCTCCTCCTCCAGTGCACTGCGGCTGAATTCACGTTTTGTGCGTCCCACTGATGCCACATCGCCAGAGCAGTCCCTCGGCCTTGCCCGCCGACGCAGGAAATGTGTGTGTGTGTGTCTTTCCCGTCCCGAACAAGTGGCACGCGCGCCCTGGCTCTTGCACGAAGGAGCCGCGAGGGACAGGAGGCTTTCGCCTCCTTCCTCCAGGAGCTTCCTTCCGTGGCCGGGGGGGGAAGACGAGCGACGAACGAACGACGACGACGGACGAAAATAAAGAGGTCCGAGCTCCTCCTCCTCCTCCTCCTCCTCCTCTTCCTCCTCCTCCTCCTCCTCCTCATCCTCCTGCCCCCTCCTGCCCCCTTCTCCTCCTCCTCCTCCTGCTTCCTCCTCCGCCACGTCTTCATTTACCTCCGACGTCTCATCACGCATCCCGTCACCCTCGAGGGCCGAGGTATCCAGGGTCGGCGGCACTGGCCGCAAGGCCTCAGCGAGAAAGAGGGCCGAGCTCCGGAGCACAACAGCGCGAGAGAGCAGCCCCTTCTCCTGCTCGCCCGCCCCGGAGCGCCCCGCGCCTTGCCGCCGCCTCCCGGCTTCAGCCCCTTGGACACGTTCTCGCCCAGGATGTCCAGGCGCCGGTCCTTCACGTGCTTGGGCTGGCCCGTGACGCCGCGGGTGGCCTCTCGTCGGGCGGGGCGCGGCGGAGGGCTCGAGGGCGCCCCGGGGAGGGAGCAGGGGCACGGGAGGAGGCTCGAGGGCGCCGGTCCTTCCCGCGCTTGGGCTGTCCCGTCACGCCGCGGGTGGCCTCTCGTCTCAAGTCGGGCCTGTCCCCCTGCAGGGGGATGTTGGACGAAAAATCACAAATGCCCCAAAAATACCCCAAAAGGGTCAAAAGATGCTCAAAAAATCGTCCCCAGACTGTTTTTTACTATTTCTGAATATTCCCGCTGTGGAAGGGACAGGCCCGACTTACCTCTCGTCGGGCGAGGCACGAGAGAAGGCTCGAGGGCGCCCGGGGGGGGGGGAGCAGGGGCACAGAGGGAGGCGGAGGGTCAAACGATGACAGGGGTCAGCGAGGGAGGGAGGGGGAGGTGGAGGGGAGAAGGGGAAAGGGGGGAAGGGGAAGGGAAGGGAGGAGGAAGGGAAGGGGAAGGGGAGGCGACGCGACGCGACGCGCGCGACGCGACGCGCGACGCGACCACCGTTGCGGACAGCGTCCGGGCCTAGAGCAGACCAGGTGGGTGAGGCCATGGCCTCTAGGATCTAGGATCTAAGGGGAAGGGGAGGGGAGAAGGGGAAGGGGAGGGGGAAGGGGAAGGGGAAGGAGAAGGGGGAAGGGAGGAGGGAGAACAGGAAGGGAGAGGGACGGAATGCGGAGGGGGGGGGGAGGGACAGGAAGAGAGGGACTTCTGAGGGTGGTGCAAGGAGGCGGACAGTGGACGAGGGCGGGGGCCGACGAGGGAGGGAGAAAGGGGAGGTGGAGGGAGAGGGAGGAGAGAGGGACGGAAGGCGGGGAGGGGGGGAGGGCCAGGAAGACAGTGACTTCTAAGGGTGGGGCAAGGAGGGGGACGGGAGACAGGAGACGGAAGGCAGATCCTTAGACAGTTCAGTTCAATCATTGGCCACGCTTGGACAGCATCGCGCGGCGACACGCCAGAATTGTCGTCAAAGCGACCACTGTGGCCTCACACCCGGGCTTGGGCATCGACCCTTCGGGATCGCGTTATCGCTCTCACTTGCAGCAGGAGTCGGACCAATCATCATCATGTGTTCGACTGCGGAGATGGATCGATTCTGACTAGGAGGAGCAACATCGGGATACGCGACATTAGCGTAAAGGCCACTGGGGGCCGCTGGAGTTCTTACGAGGAGTCAGCTTCAAACCAGCCGCACGACAATTCATAGCATGTGCACTGTCAGCATGGAGTTACGTTACTTTCCCGTCCGCTGTGGACCGCCCTGCAAATTGGTGATGTCCGCGTACAGCCTCGACGGGCATCCATGAACCTCGTGCTCAGTGGCGTGGCGCCGACCCCAGAGCACATGCAGGGGGTCTCCGGCATGCAGCGCTCGGTTATCTGAAACATAAAAACTCGACAACGCCGATGCTGCTTTGTATATACATGCGTGCAGACGTGAATTTCGGTGCACTGGAAACAAATGCATCGGCACGGGACACTTCGAAAGCATCATCAGTGCGGCTGGTGAACGCAGGAGTCTGTAGCCACGACGGGATCGTCTTAGTGCCACGACTGCAATAAGTGGTATGCATCCCGCGTGGTCCAAAACTCCATGTCGCGCAAAGTGATCGGGTGAAATCGACGCGCCGTTCAAAAACCCACAACATCATCAAGATCAATTGTACCGTGTAAAGCAGGTTCGTGCAATGACGACATGCGTTTTGGTCTCTGCCACCACGAGGCTCGTTCGACTTGGAGCCATTGTGGCTTCCAGATAGCGCCAACCGTTCGATATCGGCGGATTCTGGGCCACTGGCGGCGTCTAACCTTGAAAGCAAGGGGTGGGATCGCAGCCCGTCGACGCGATGCGAATCTACCGTAGGAGTGTTCCCCGCGCGTCCACCCGGGACTGATACGGACGCATGAGTCGCGTGCTAAAGTGCGCGGAATCGTGACAACAAGCGGGCCTTTGAGCGTCCCCCCTGGGACCTCGGGAGAATCGCTTGGCGAGCTTTGAGCCTATCGAAAATATGTCGGGACACCCTCGGAACAGGGTTGCGCAATCTGTCTCCAGGTGTTCCCGGCGGACCCCGAACGCATCCAAATCGGGGCACCATCGGAACAGGCTTGCGCAACCTACGCGTCCCCACTTCTTTCGGGCGGGGTCGAAACCCATAGAAAACGAGTCGGGGCACCATCGGGACAGGCCGAAGCAACCTGTGTGTGCCCAAATGTTTTGGGCGACAAAGGAACCTATCGAAAACGAGTCGGGGCATCACCAGGACATGCCTGTGCAACCTGTGTACCCCAAACTCTTTCAGGCGAACTCGGAACGCATCGAAAATGATCAGGGGCATCTTGGGACCGGCCCGCGCAACTGACGCATGTGCGTCCCCCCTCTTCTCGGTCAGGAATGGACACCAGTGGAACAAGCCCACGCAATCACGCCCCAAGCGAGCACTCACAGATGACCGCCCCGGCCTCAAATCGGCACACCTCTCGCGCGGAGCATCACCCGTGGGGAGACCGAACTGCGGCCCTGGCGATCGCGCCTCTGCACCACCTCCGCCCGAATCCGACGCGCCTCTCACGCGGATGGAGCGCCGCGTACTCGACCTGCAGTAGGGGCCCGACCACAAGACACCTTCCACAAGAAACCCAACCCTGAGACTCCAGGACGTCCATCGATTTCTGGTGTGGCAACGTCACGCTCTCCATGGCAAAACCATCGAAACCCAAGAAACCCAGGGCACCCTGGAGGCAAGCAGGGTGTTTCTTGGCATGGGCCTCCAATGTAGTTTTGCTGTCCGGGACTGGAGATTCGCCAGCGTCCACAACACCTTTGTTCAGAGCTCACTGGCGAACCTCTACTCCGTGGCATGGATCGCGGCCGCGCCAGAGACCGGCTATAGCTAGATCCCGACAGCCTTCCAGGACCGCGTCGCCTCAGAATACGGCAGCTGAACAATTGGAACGCTCATCCTGAGCCCCCAGACTGCTGTGCCCTTCGCTGGAACGGAACTACAGGAGCCTGAGCTCCATAAGCCAACAACAGCGGGGCACGGGCCTCGAAAACCGAGGACCACAACCGCTTCGATCGATACGTGGTGCCTTGAATATTGGTCATCCAGCTGCGCACACCAACACCAGGGTTGGTGCGGCATCTCCTGGAGATGGAGGGAAAGGCGGAGGGAGAGAGGGATCGGAGGGGACGGGCGGAGAAGAGGTGGAAGAAGGGATGAGGAGGGAAGGAGGGAGCATGGAGAGGGGAAGGAGGAAGGAAGGAGGAGGGAAGGAGGAGGGAAGGAGGAGGGGAGGGGAAGGGATGGTGGAAGAAGGAAAGAGGGACGCGATGCGAAGGGAGGAGAGATGAGGGCAAGGAGCACGAGGGGAGAAGGAGGAGAACGAAAGGGAAGGCCGTCGGAGGCAACTAAAGCACAGGATTGGTGCATACTGCTCTGAGCAATTCTGAACGGCTCGCACCCACGCACCCGTCCTGGACCCATCCCAGCTAGAGCAGCTCTAGAAATAATCATGGCTCATCGTATCATCCAGTGGCCTCCGTCCGCCGCACGGCTCGCGTAGTGATCTCTGGGAACTCGTAGCGCAGCAGGAGGTTTTCCTTCTCTTTGGTGTCGGGCATTCTGGGATACTTCTCCTTCAAGTGCTCCATCATCTTGAGATACTCTTCCATGGTGGTCTCCTTCGAAAAGACCAACCTTTTGTGTGGCTTGACCATACCCATCAGCCTGTGGAACACCCCAATGTCTGCCAAGTATGCCAGCCACACGAGGAGAGGCAAAAACAGTATCGTGAGAACGCCCTCGATCGGCGTGACCACGTCTGGCGTCCAGAGGACCAGGATTACAATGAGCCACAGGTATGCAAAGAGCGAAAAAGAAGCCGTTACTGTGAAGACCGACATGTCTTTTATTCTGCGCGACTCACCATCTGGGATGGCCGAGATACAGACTGCTATAATGACCAAAAGGTTGAATGCCGCACTGCCGACTATGGTAGAGGGACCGAGAGCACCGCTCCTCATCTTGTTCGGAGCCAACTCGATCACGCTCAGCAAGATTTCAGGCGCACTAGAACCCAAAGCCATCAGAGTCAGGTTTGCAACCGTGTCATTCCAGACCTTCACGGTTTTCAGGCGTGGCCCCCTGTTTGTAGCTTGGTCGCTGTCGGGGCTCGGAGTCGTGCCCTTGCCGTCCCATGGCCGGTCGCCGTCCGCTACCGGGACTTGCTTCTTTGCGGAGGTGATCTTCTCGATCGCACCCATGAAGACGTCGGATCCACCACCGTGCCTGCACGACGTGGGCGTGCTGGAATGCCAAGATGCTGTTTTGTTGGGCCCGTGTAATATTATCAGGGGGACGTAAGACCTGGGTACAGGGGACTCGGAAATCCCCGACGAGGTCGTCAAAAAAATGACGAGGCCGAGCCTGCATTTTGACGAGGCCTCCCGCTGCAGACATCCCACGAAACTCCTCCTCGTCAAAATCCGAGGCGCGGTCGTCAAAAAACGATGGCGAACCCGAGTCCTGGCAAACCCGGGTCTTACGCTCCCCCGATATTAAAAGACGTGCCACGCCACGTGCCAAGCCCATTTGCATAGAGTGACCACATGCGTTTACCCAGCGTTTCTTCGGCGAGCTACGGGAAGGCCCGCCCGCTGCACGACTCACTGAATCCCCATCCACTGCAAGGAGGTTTACCTTAGGTTTGCGTATGACGTCACTCTCCTGGCCTCCCCAGCAACCCACGAAAGTGGCAACGGTTTCGCAGATCGCACCCCCCAAGGGACGGCGAGGCATAATCGGAATGTGCGTGGGACGCGCCACTCCGCTGGACCCCCCGGCAACCCTTGACAGTGGCGACTGTGTCGCGGATCGCATTGCCCCAGGGATGACGAAGTCTATTTTCGGTTCGCGCGGGATGTTTTTCTGGTAGACCCCCCCGCAGCCCCCGAAAGTGGCGACAATGTCGCATAGCACACGTTCCCAGTGACGGCGACATGTAACTCAGGTTTGCGTGGGACGTCATTCCGCTGGACCCTAGCAGCAGCCCTCGACATTGGCGACATTTTTGCAGATCGTAGGGGACGTCAAGCCGCTGGACCCCTTAGCAACAATCATCGCAAACCCCCTAGGGATGGCGAGACCCACGCGACAACAACAGTGAAAATGTGGAAGGAGGAAGGGGACCACAACGAAAGGGGCAGGATGAAGAAGGGAGGGTGGCGATCATTTTCCAGCGGCACGCTGGACAAGCAGCGAGGCCCGCGTCATGCTACTTTGGCGCTCCAAAAGACCAACTGCTCTTAGCAACTGCAAGAAGCCAACGAAACCGCGTTCGCCCGCCAGGTTCCCCAATGTTTTCCTGCACCTTGCAGCGCGGGAGCGAAACGCCCACAGGCGAATCGCCAGGTGTTCAGACAACCCGCGAAAAAGGAAATCAAGGCTAACTAGGAGTCCGCGTACAACGTCACTCCGCTCAACCCCCCAACGGTCCAGGAAAGTCGCGATAAGTTCGCAATGCGCACCCAGGTATGGCGAGGTCTGTGAGTCTGCGCATGACGTCACTCCGCTGAACTACCCAGCAGCCCTCGGAACTGGTGACAGCTTCGCAGTTCGCAAGACCCGAAGGATGGCGAGGTCTACTCTGAGTCTGCGTATGACGTCACTCCGCTGGACCCCCCCTCTGTTCTCGAAAGAAAAGGGGGGCAGCCCCGCAGTTCGCGGCCCCGCAAGGACGGCAAGGTCTACCCCGAGTCTGCGTACGACGCCCCTCCGCTGAACTCCCAAACAATTATCGCAAGTGGCGGCAATATTACATTCCGCAGAACCCCAGGGATGGCGAGGTTTGCTCCGAGTCTGCGTATGACGTCATTCTGCTGGACCCCTTTTCCGGCAGCCACCGAAGATGGCGAAAGCTTCACAGGTCAGTGTCCCCCAGGGGTGGCGAGGTCTCGTCTGAGTCTGCGTATGACGCCACTCCGATGACCCACAACAGCCCTCGAATGTGGCGACAGCTGTGGGGTTCGCGGCCACTCCAGGGACGGCGAAGTATACTCTGAGCCTGCGTACGACGTCACCCAGCTGGTCGCCCAGCGGCCCTCGAAAGTGGCGACAGCTTCGCAGTTCGTAGCCCTACAAAGGATGGCACGATCGAATATGAGTCTGCGTATGACGTCACTCCGCTGGACCCCCAGCAGTAATCGAAAGGGGCGACGGTTTCGCAAGTCGCAACCCCTCATGGACGGCGAGGCTTAATGCACGCATGCGTATGCCGTCACTCCGCTGGACCCCCAAGCAGCCCTCGAAACTGGCGACAACTTCGTATTCCGCAGCCACCCAGGGACTGCGAGGTCGAATTTAGGTCTGCGTGTGACGTCACTCCCCTGGACCCCACAGCAGCCCCCGAAAGTGGCGACGGGCTTCGCGGTTCGCAGCCCCGCAGGGACGGCGCGGTCAAGCAGCACGGCGAGGCGGGAGGCAGGCTGGCAGGCAGGTACGAGCCAGACGAGGAGAGAAGAGGAGGGAAGAAAGGAGAAAGGAGGCTGGGGAAGGAGGAAGTCGCGACCGCAGTGCTCCTTTCAAAACGAGAGAACCCCACGCGGGAGGGCTGGGAATGATTACAAGAATGCCGGTCTCCCTCGGCCCTGGGTGCCGCGTGCCTTCCCCCCTATCCCGAGGCCACAAGGCACTACCGCCGACCAAGCGACGGGGGGACGAGAGTGCCGTCGGGCCGTGAGGACACGCTCTCGAGCGCGGGCACCCCGACGTTGGGTGTCCCCCCCCCTCCCGAGGCCACGATCCCTCGTAGGAAACTGTGGATCCGTGCTCCCGAAGCCACGACCCCGGGGGAAAATCGAGGGCGTCCCAGAAGCCTCCAAGACGGCCCATGCGGGCAGCCAAGGACACCAGGCAGGCAGTCCGACCGACGCCACGCTCGGCCAAGAGCGGGGCGACTGCGTGGAACCTCAGACGTCGAGGTTGAACGCCCGAGTGAAACATGCACTGTTTTCGGTGGCTAGACGCATGCCATACCATTCAGTTTTAAAGTGCTCACTCGCAAACTTGAGCACATAGTCGTCACATCTCACCGAAGGTCGTCCAGGTGATCCTCCAGCCCCGGGACATGACGCAGGTGGGTGCCAACGCGATGCTCTTGCAGGCCCGCTGTGCGACATCATGCCTACTCGATGAGCCAGCCTGGTACTGCCATCCCGACAACTGGACCCTCCAGTCTGCCACTGGGTATGATGTTAGAGCAGCGTTCACTCTCCGCCTCTTCCATCGCACTGTGTCGTCCCAAGACTCGTTCTCCTGACGAGTCCAACCAACGATGTTTCAAGGCATTCTCGGCTGAACCATACATAATGAGCTCGCCTGTGTCCGTACCACTGCACAAGACGAAACGCCAGACGATATCATTGGAGTGACTACTGAGGTGGCGAAGGACACCAAGATGGTCAAAGATGCCTCCAACACGGGCCAAGAGGGCCCGAAGGAGGCCGAATGTGGTCTCAAGATGGCCCAAGGTGCCTCCAAGAGAGCCCCAAAGGACACAAGAGGACCTCCGACAGGGCCCGAAGAACCCGAAACCATTGATTTCGTGTGGGTGTCTAGCGTATTCCCATCTTCTCACTTTTTTTTGGCTTCCGTCAGCCAAAACGGTCCACGAAGCCTCTACGATGGCCCCAAGACGGCCTGAGAGGTCCCCACGAGTGTCCGGAGATGCCCCAAAGGAACCGACAAGGGCCTCCCGCGGGACCCAAGACGGCCTTACAAGGACCTTAGACTGCCCAAGACTGCGCAAAGGCGGCCCCACGACGGCCCCCAGACACCCACCATGAAGCCAAGAAGACCCCAAGACGGCCCAGAGCCCCAAGACGGCCCAAAAGAGCCCCAAGATGCTCCAAAACGGCCCAAGAGGGTACCCAAGGACCCCCAGGATTGCCCCACAGGAAGCTAAGACAGCCCATAGACGACCCACACGAGATCCGTGAAGTTCCTCAAATAGGGAAGACGAAAGGTGTCACATATGATGGCCGTTCCTCCACCTCCTTCCACATCCTTCTCCTCCTCCTCCTCCTCCTCCTCCTCCTCCTCCTGCTCCTCCTCCTCCTCCTCCCCATCATGATCAGCATCATCATCATCATCATCATCATCATCATCATCATCATCATCATCATCATCATCATCATCATCATCATCATCATCATCATCATCATCATCATCATCATCATCATCATCATCATCATCATCATCGTCATCATCATCATCAGCAGCAGCATCAGCATCAGCATCAGCATCAGCATCAGCATCAGCATCAGCATCAGCATCAGCATCAGCATCAGCATAGCATCATCATCATCATCGTCATCATCATCAGAATCAGCATCAGCATCAGCCTCAGCAGCATCATCATCATCAACGGCATCATCATCAGCATCATCATCATTATCATGATCATCATCATCATCATCATCATCATCATCAACAATCATCATCATCAGCAGCAGCAGCATCAGCATCATCATCATCATCATCATCATCATCATCATCATCATCATCATCATCATCATCATCTTCATCATCATTATCAGCACCATCTGTAGCAGCAGCATCCACCGTCATCAGCACCATCATTATCATCATCGTCAGCATCATCAACATCAGCATCATCATCACCATCTGCAGCATCAGCATCAATCATCATCCGCATCATCATCAGAATCATCATCCGCATCATCATCATCGTCATCATCATCATCAGCAGCAGCATCCTCATCATCAGCATCATCATGATCATCATCATCAGCATCATCATAACCAGCAGCAGCATCAGCATCAGCATCAGCATCAGCATCATCATCAGGATCATCATCGTGACCATCATCAGCACCAGCACCACCACCACCAGCACCAGCATCAGCATCAGCATCAGCAGCAGCATCATCACCATTATCATCAGCATCATCATCGTCAGCATCATCATCAGCATGAGCATGAGCATCATCATCATCATCAGCATCATCATCAGCATCATCGTCGTCATCATCATCAGCATCAGCATCAGTATCAGCATCAGAATCAGCATCATCATCATCATCATCATCATCATCAGCACCAGTTTCATCATCTCCATCTTCACCATCATCATCACGGCTCTCCCGAGCCTAGAGACGCGAGATGTCACGCGGGACCCCGTCGAAGAGTCGCCGCCCAGAATGCTGTGCTGACACGGTGGCGGGACTTGCCGCAGGCAGCTAGATATGATTCCCACTCCCTGAAAACACCACATAAGCCCGATGAAGTACAGGATTCCTCCGAGAACCTTGGGATACTTTGCTTGAACCACCAGTCCAATACCCGCTCCAACTAGGCTCAGCAACGGCCCCCCGAGGCCAAGAATTGCCGAAAACATTCCGTCGAGAGCTGTGCCAAGACGCGATGAAGTCTGAAAAAAATGGGGATGGGGGAGCATTGGACTCGCGATCGCAACAAGAGTCTCCAAGCGCCTGGCTCTTGATGTGGACCAGCGGAAGCACGACGCCATCCGACCCGCCGGTTATTAGCGGCTCTCCGCCATCGCATATGCTGGCCATTGCGTCAGGATGCTGGTTTCGCTTCAAAACGGCTGAAGAAGTGGAAGGAGGAGGAGGGAGGAAGGGGAGAGAAGGCCACCATTGCGGCGTGCAGTTCTGAGGCCCGGGGGGGCCTGCTGGGACCGAGACGTCGCCATGCACAAGCAAGCACCGCCAGCCTGCACGCCAGCTCGACAGCGCACAATGGCCGAGTCCTCGTGCGAGGAAGCATGGAAGGCAACAGTAACAGGAGCATTTCATCATGCGTTGTCTGAAGTTCCTTTCTGCGTCCCCCCGTTTCGCCCCCCAGAGAGGGCACCCCAATGAAATTAATCGCTCGGTCTAGACGCCCGTCCTGCTAGCCGTGGACTGATTGATTTGCTTGCCTGCTTCGGGTGGCATCAGATTCCGCAACCCTATACGAACCGTCCCCGGTAGACTCCGCCAAAGTGAACGACGCATCGACGAAGAATCACAAACCATAACCGTAGCCGACTGTATCAATGAAGAGGGCAAACACGGGTTGACCTGCCATCGCCAGCCGCGGGGGCAGGCTGTCACAGAACGCAGTGGCAAGGCAAAGCGCCACAGCTACAACAACGAAATCTGCTCAAGCAGCGTCTATTATGCGCAACCAAAACATCAGTACACTGTGACACCCTGTAACCAACGGTGATATGTCCCAACCGTTGCTGATTAGACTCCTTCCCCACGTGAGAAACGCTTGCTGTCATAGCCGGGTAGCGCGCGGAAACGAATCGAAAAGTTTTACAACCACGCGCAATATTATCACGATCGTAAACAATGAAAAGAAATGGGGCAAACATGGGCAAAAACCCGACATATCGGGAGGGTTGCGTAGACAAACGGTTTTTTGGATGGCTTTCGCAAAGTTTCGAGGTATCCCGGGGTGGGTTCGGAACTTACTGAAAACGCACCAGGCTACCCTCTGGGCTGAACACGCGAACCATATGCCCACTATTGATTTGGGCGTGAGTGGAACACCGTGAACAAATCCATGGAACACACAAGCGCTTGCCACGCGTTACAATATCCCGCCGACGCAAGCTTGCCGGGGGCGAAGATGCGCATGACTTTGGCCAGCCTTACAAGCCAGAAGCGCGCTAAAATGTCCGGGCGCGCGTGGCGGCCCCCCTGGGGGCCCCGGCGGTCCTGTCAAAAATTAGGTCCTGGAAAGTACCTGCAGGTTCCCGGCGGTTTCTCGGCAGGGCCCTGGAAAGCCCCAGCAGGTTCCCGGCAGGGTCATGTCAGAAATGCTTGAACTCACGGCCGCAGCCTCGGGGGCCGCGGGAGCGCCCCAATGAGGAGCCGAATGGGCGGACAGGCCAGGACCAATACCGTTCCAGGATGGCCCACGTTGGTCCCGAGATGGCCCAACAAGCGCCCGCGATTCAAGGTGCGAGCGCGGGCATGAGGGTGGGCGTGGGCGCGGGCGCGGGCGCGGGCACGGGCGTGGATGCGGCCGCGGGCGCAGGGCGCGCGCGGGCGTGGGCGCGGGCCTGGGCGCGGGCGCGGGCACGGGCGCGGGCGCTGGCGAGGGCGAGGGCGCGGGCGCGGGGGTAGGCGACGGCTTGGGCGCGCGCGCGGGCGCGGGCGCGGACGCGGGAGCGGGCGCGCGCGCGGGCGCGGGCGTGGGCTCGGGCCGGGGCGTAAGCGTGGGCGCGGGCGTGGGTTTGGCCTTCCGCGCGGGCGCGGGCGCGCCGAGGGCGTGGGCACGGTCGCGAGCGTAGGGGCGGTTGTGGACGCAGGAATGGGCGCGGGCGCGGGCACAGGTTTGGGCGCGGGCGCGAGCGCGGGCGCGGGGGGCGCAGACGCTGGCGCGCGCGCGCGCGGGCGCGAGCGCGAGCGCGGGTCTGAGCGCGGGCGCGGGTGGGGCGCAGGCGCGGGCGCGGGCGCGGGCACGGAAATGAGCGCGGGCGCGGGCGCAGGCGCGGGCGCGGAATCGGGCCGCGGGCGCAGTCGCGGGCGAGGGCGCGGGCGTCTTTGCGCAGGCGCGGGCGCGGATGCGAGCGCGGGGGCGGGCGCTGGCGCGGGCGCGGTCGCGGGAGCGGGCGCGGGGCGCGCGCGGGCGCGGGCGCGGGCGCGGGGGTCGGCGCGGGCGCGCTTCCGGCGCGCTTGGAAGCTTGCCGGAAGCTCCCCCGGACCCGTTGCCGGGTCACCGGAGTCGCTGCGAGGCCTGTGGACCGCCGTGGAAGAGCTCCTGGCGGGCACCACCACCGCCCGGCTTCTAATCTTAAACCCTTTAGCTCTCGTCGAGCTCCCCGGGAATCTTTCCTGGAGAACTCAGGGAAGCCCCCTTGCAGCGCTGCCAAACTGCCAGAAACGCTTCCATGCCTGCGTGCACGCGTGCAGGCACGCGTGGAAGCTTGCCGGGTCACGTGTCCGGGAGAGCTTCCGGCAAGCTTCCACGCGTCTGTTGCTGAGCACTGTTGCTGAGCACTGTTGCTCGTCTGAATGTTGACAGTTCACTGCTTCCGCTATATATCAGATCTCGACTCCAGCTTCAGAAGTCGAAGTTGCCATTCAGCTCAGATTGAGGAATTTCTCTGAGCAGTTTTAGTCGCTTATCTAGCTGAGGATTAACGAGCGCTCGGGCTTGTGCTCATATCTCGGAGGCACAGACGAGCTTCCGCCTCCGGCTGAGGCTTGGTTCCGGCAGCTCGCGCTCGAGCCTGAGCTCAGGCAGGGGCGCAGGCCGCAGGCGGGCGAGCACGCGGGCTCGAACGCTGGCGTCTATGCGTCTGTGTTTCAGCAGGCAGTGTGTCCGTGTACATGTTTGTCTGTGTGTCTGTCTGTCTGTGTCTGTGTGCCTGTGTGCTTTTGTGCACTCGCGCCAGCCGTGAACTGTCAACCTTGTAACGATCTCTGTGCCTTCAGTGCGTCTGTCTCTCTGTGTGTCTGTGGGTCTGTCTGTCTGTGTGTCTGTTAGTCTGTGTGCCCCTGTGCCTCTGCATTAGTATTTGTGTGTCTGTGGGTCCGTGTGTCTGTGTTTTGTCTGTGTTCCTCTGTGCCAGTGTCTCAATGTGTCAGTTGTCAGTGTGTCTTTGTGTCTGTCTGTGACTCTGGGTGTCTGTCTTGTCCCCGTGTCTGTGTGCCTGTGTGTCTGCGTATCTGTGTGTCTGGTTGTCTGTCTGTCCGGGTGTCTCTGTGTTTGTGTGCATGTCTGTGTGTGTGTGTCTATGCCTACGTATCTGTGTGTCTGTGTGTTTGTGTGTCTCTGTGTTAGGTGTCTGTCTGTCTGCGTGTCTGTGTGTCTGTGTGTCTGTGTGTCTGTGTCTGTGCATCTGTATATCTGTGTGTCTTTTGTGTCCGTATGTTCGTGTGCTTTTCTGAATATAAGTATGTATGTGTGCTCCTTTGTCTGTGTTTCTGAGTGTCTCCGTGTCTGGGTGTCTCTGTGTCTGTGTATTTGTTTTTTTTTGGGCGTCTGTGAGTCAGATGTCAGTGTGTCTGTGTATATGTTTGTCTGTGTGTCTGTGTGCCTGTCTGTATGTGTGTATGTGCCTGTGTGCTTGTGCCCTTGGTCTGCGTGTCCGTGTGTGCGTGTCTGCGTGTCTGTGTGTTAGTGTTTTGCATGTCTGCGTGTTTTTTCTGTCTGTGCGTCTGTCTGTCTGTGTGTCTGTGTGTCTGAGTGTCTGTCTGTCTGTGAATTTGGCTGCGTGTGTCAGTTGCTGAATGTCTGTCTGTCTGTGTGTTTGTGTATATGTGTGTCTGTATCTCTGTGTGTCCGGCTCATGCTGGGGCTCGGGCTGGGCTCGGGCTCGGGCTCGCTGGCGCCTGGGCTCGGGCTCAGGCTCGGGGTTCGCTCGGGCCCGGGCTCGGGCTCGGGCTCGGGCTGGGGCTCGGGCTCGGGCTCGGGCTCGGGCCCGGGCTCGGGCTCGTGCTCGGGCTCTCGTGCTCGGGCTCGTGCTCGGGCTGTTGGGCTCGGGCTCGGGCTCGGGCTTGGGTTGGGGCTCGGGCTCGGGCTCGAGCTCGAGCTCGAGCTCGGGCTCGGGCTCGGGCTCGGGCTCGGGCTCGGGCTCGGGCTCGGGCTCGGGCTCGGGCTGGGGCTCGGGCTCGGGCTCGGGCTCGGGCTCCTGGGCTCGGGCTCGGGCTCGGGCTCGGGCGGGCTCGGGCGAGCTCGAGCTCGGCTCGGGCTCGGGCTCGGGCTCGGGCTCGGGCTCGGGCTCGGGCTCGGGCTCGGGCTCGGGCTCGGACTCGGGCTCGGGCTCGGGCTCGGGCTCGGCTCGGCTCGGGCTCGGGGCTCGGGCTCGGGCTCGGGGGCTCGGGGGCTCGGGCTCGGCGGGCGGGCTCGGGCTCTCGGGCTCGGGCGCGGGCGCGGGCGCGGGCTCGGGCTCGGGCTCGGGCTCGGGCTCGGTCCCGGGCCGGGCGCGGACATGAGCGCGGGCGCGGGCGCAGGCGCGGGCGCGGAATCGGGCCGCGGGCGCAGTCGCGGGCGAGGGCGCGGGCGTCTTTGCGCAGGCGCGGGCGGATGCGAGCGCGGGGGCGGGCGCTGGCGCGGGCGCGGTCGCGGGAGCGGGCGCGGGGCGCGCGCGGGCGCGGGCGCGGGCGCGGGGTCGGCGCGGGCGCGGGCGCGGGGCGGGCACGAGCGCGGGGGCCGGGCGCGGCGCGGCGCGGGCGGGCGCGGGCGCGGGCGCGCGATCCATGCATGGACGTTCGCGCGCGCGCGCGTGCGTGCGCGCGTGGGTAAGTGCGCGCGCGCGTCTGTGCATTTCCTCGCGCGCGCGCCCGCGGCCGCGGCGGCGACGCCGCTCGCGCGCCCCCCCCCCCCCCCCGCCCCCCTCTCCACTGGCGCCCCGCGGCGGAGTGGCCGCAGCGAGCCGGCGGAGGGCCAGCCCCAAAATGGCCCGGCGCCGGCGCGGGGGGCAGGGCGCATGGCAGGCGGGGGGCGGGGGGGGAAGGCGCGCGAGCATAGTCGTTAGTGCGCGGGCGTCTGTGGATGTTTGCGCGCGCGTCATTTGCAGGTGGGGATTGCAATGCACGGCGGCGGCGGCGCGCGCGCGGCGGCGCGGTCGCGGTCGCGTCTGCGGCGGC